CTGTGGACTATGGCACCAAGCTTCTATCACACAACCTAAAGATTTCGAATTGCCTACTCTTTAGAATTGTGTATGTCGGAGTGTGGTTTAGTTCGACACTGGGGCTAATTTCTATCGATCATTCGCAGTTGATTTTCTCTTCGACTTGAGTTGTATTTCTTCTTCTTCGTCGACTTAGAACTTCTCTTGTCTTCGACTTGGGCTGATTTCTTGCCGCAACTCAGCCGCAACTCTCTGTCGTCCGAGGTGATCTCTTCTCTTTGCCGTCCGGGGCTGAACTCTTCTAACTCTGTCAACTCTTGCTGCCTGTCTGGCCTGCAATTCTTCTTCTTGTCTGGCTGCAATTCTTCGGCCTGTCTGGCCTGCAGCTCTTCTTCTTATCTTCGACTTGGCTGTAACTTCTCTGCGGCTTCCGGAGCAATCTTCTTCTTCTTCGACTTGGCTCTTCTCGGGGCTTGAAGCAATCTTCTTCTTCTTCGATTTGGCTGCAACTTCTCTGCGGCTTTCAGGTAAACTTCTTCTTCTTCGTCTGCTTGGGCTGGAAGTTCTCTTGTCTTCGACTTGGGCTGGAAAGATTTCTTGTCTGAGGATTCTCTTGCCCGCAAAGGGGGCGAGTGAATCGGGCCCGATGCCCGCGTTCAGGCTCTATCCCTGCCCGCGGTCCAGCTGCAACTCCACTCCAACTGATTTCTGTCGACTGGGGTCCTGCTTTTTATTGACGCCGCAACAAACTGGGGTGGGTCTGTCGGCGTCAGGGTTTTCTCAATAATTCCAAAAGTCGCATTATTTTTGATTTCCCATTATCGCTATTGTTTTCACCCCTACTTCCTCACAGTGCCCTTTGGTGGGGAGGCGCACACCCATCTCTCTTAGTCTCTCGTATGTCAGGTGACCGTTTTCGACCAATGGTTCCTGATCGGGCATTTCTTTCTCTTCTTTTCTGCAGATCACGTGACCGTTTTCCGACCAATTGTTATTGATCGAGCATCCTTTCTCCTCCTTTCGGGCGGGGTTACATCGTTCTGGGAAGAAACAAAAAAAAAAAACAAAATCCAATTTTGCCTTTTTTCTGCACGTACGAAAATGACAATCTTGGCTTTTCTCACCTGGGCTCTGTCAAACAGCCCGCCGCTAATTAGATGTGACTTCAGGGGAAGAATATTGGCGCTATCTGTGAACTGAGACAATCGTTTTTCACCTCTTTGTCTTTGTCAGACCCGACAGTCAGAAAATCTTAATTATCTACATTGAAAATGTTCCCACTTTATTATCGTAGGTTTCTAATTCTTAATAGGTCAGGTTCTGTATATAGTTCCACCGGTCTCCCCTCAACCCAAAAAGACACTTTTTTCTCCGATTAAAAAAATTTCGTTTCTATTGTTCTAAAAAAAATTTCCTTTTCTCCAAATTGATAATGAGTCTTTCTACGCAAAAAAGTAGGTCAGATGTTTTGACCGATAACTTTTTCATCAAGCGGCCCGTTTTGATATCATGTCTTTTTCCTTTCTTTCTTCTTATTATTTCTAAATTCTATTCTTCCAATTGTCTTTAAAAATTCGGCCAACATGCAGGCCAAGATATCTTTCTGACTCGTTTTTTGTTAATGACCGCTTTTTGTATTTCTCGACCTCTCTTTTTTGCTTTTCTCTTTTTCTTTTCTTCTTCCCTTAGGATCGTCTAAGTACAATCTTAGTGAATTATTTTCAACTCAATTATTTTCCGTTTAAAAAAAAAAACAACCTGTTTAGTAAACCGAGTAAGAAAAAATTAAATCATATTTCTATGAATATTTCTAATAATGCAAGGTGCCACAATTTAATGCCGACAACATTCTTTTTTCTGGTAATATTTTTGCTTTGTGAAAAATCTATATCTGTTAATATTTTTTCCTCAGAAATGTATAGCTGATAATATTATTTTTTCAAAATCCTTTGTTTATATGTTTTTCAAAAAACGTATGGCTGGCAACATTATTTTTTAAAAAACCTACAGCCGGGAACATTATTTTTTCAAAAACACCATCAGAGGCCTTGCTGTTGGACGTAGTTTATCGTCTTACCCAGGACGCGATACCCAGGACGCGTAGAATAATGAATGTTTTCTTTAGCTTGTATTAAATTGTATCCATATCTATAATTCTCCAAATGTGTGTGTGCATATATGCGTCTGTGTGTGTGTATGTGATCGGATGTTTTTTATGAGTTTCCACAGTTTTCATCCGATTTCGACGAAATTATTTTTGTTTGATAGATAATCCTTAAGTGGTGGTTTTGAGTCCAAATTGGCTGGGAAAAATTACAACCTTGAAGGTGAAAAATCGAAAAAACTGACTTTTTTACAATTTGCACAAAAATCAAAGACAAAATTTAATGTCTGTAAAAAACAGCGTACAATCATTTTAAAGAGTTGAAATCTAACGCAAAAGATTATTAGAATTATTAAAAAAAAATTATATTATAAATAAAAATTATCGTATATTATTATTATGATGGTCCATGGAAGAGGTTCCTTCCTTGCAAGATTGAGTACTGTTTGAAAAAACTTTTTTCAGATACCCCTGATTCAAATTGCTAACCAGTGGCGTAGCTAGTGGGGTGATGGGCTGACTTTTGTGCCATGCACAGGAAGGTGACACAATGTCACCCCCAACAAATTTTTTCAACCAGGCTAAGGTGCCAAAAAATAGTCTGAAAACAGTGGTGGAGACGCAGGGTTTCGCAGGCGGGCATACCCCCCCCAGAAATAATTTTATGACCCCACCAAGATTTGTCCCCCCCGTCAGAAATTTTCTAATAAATTGTCGGGAAATTTGTGAGTAGGAAAAATAGCAATATTTTTCAGCTTTCATGTGTTTCAGTTGCTACAATCTTGGTTACTAACAAGAGACATTTTATCGGATGATATTTTTTATCGGATGCATCATTTTTAACAATTAAAGCAAAATACGAAGCCAAAAGTGCAACAATTTCAGTCTTGCCTGTGTATCAATTCGCTGAGATACAATTTTCCATTAGTGAGCGATATACTTTTGAATACATCTACTAGTGTTGGGACGATTAATCGGAATCGGAATCGAGAATCGGAAAAATCGGAACTTTTTTCGGAAACGGTATCGGAATCGGAATAATTTGTGCCTATTTTCCGATTAAAAAAACGATTTTTTAAATTTTTAACTTAATTTTCCATTATTGGTACATAAGTATTTATTATTTTTAAATTATCACTAAAACTAAACTCATAATAACATCACAATACGATGTAAATTTATTTTACTTGTATAAAGAAAAACAAAAAAATTAACTTTCTCTAGATCACCTTTAAAAGAATGCAGTTGATTTACAATGTTCCGAAAAATGTTTAAAAATTAAATAGAAAAATTTTGTCAAGAAAAATACTTTCAAACACCATTGATAATTAAATGGTACCCCAAAAATGATGCAACGGAAAATTGAACACCGGAAAATTAGCAACAGAAAATTACGTCAACCATGAACCAGTCGAGACTGTCGGATCTGGCTGTGCTGTCCATTGAAAACGAGCTTACAAGACAAACAGATTTTGACGATGTCATTGACCAGTTTGCCACAATGAAAACAAGAAAACATTCATTCTAAGACCATAGTATCGAATGTCATTCTTTTGTGTATTGCCGTGTTTTGTATTTAGTTGTTCTGAAATATGAACAGTTGCATTTTAAAAATCTTTTGATTTGAACTGATTATTTTGTGGTATTGGATTTTTGTCTTGGATCATACATGTAAACAGTAAATACCGTTCAGTAAAGTAAAGTAGAGGTAGAGCATGTATGAAAATTTAGCTTCAGCTAACCATTCAGCATAGGGTGAATCAGGGTCATTGGTGTGACATTTGAGCGGACCGCCCGGGTGACGTTTACTCTAGCTACGCCACTGCTAACCACCCTCCGCATTTGGGGATATGTAAAAATTTGCACCCATAATTTGTTACTTAAACTGATTTAAAAGTGGTCTGTTTTAAACTTAAAATGATCCAAATGAACGGCAAAAATATATATATATAAACACCCGTCGAAGAGGGGTTATATATAAATAAGTATTGTAATAAATTGATATGTTCTATATTTTCAGTTTTTTCTCCATATGAAAATCGTTTAACATATATATTTCATAAATGAGCCGTATTTAAAATTTTCTTTTATATATGTTTTGTACAATCAAAGTGCCAACATAATTTTTTAAAAAGATATAAACACGATATATAACAAATGAATATTTTAAAACATTTCTAAGAAAAATTAATATATCCAAAGTTTTATATTTCTATATCATTTAATATCAAGAGTTACTGTATGACAGAAAAGATATAAAAAGACAAAAAAGGGACATAATACAGTAAAGTAAGGAAAAAGGCGTTTGAAATGCTAAAAAATCATTCATCGTAAAGGGTATGGAGTGAAGAATAGTATGAATTGACAAATTTTACGTTGATCGTTATCGACTGGAATCAGGAAGAAATCAAAAAACTTTTTTTTAACAAACCAAAAAAAAGAATTTGAAAAACGAAATTACAGAAAGAAACCGGAAAAACGTTCATGACAAACTGTTCAGTTTGAAATAAGTTTTTTTTTGGTAATTTTACGGAAAGAAAAAAAAATCAGCAGAAAAGTCAACAGAAAAATGGATGAATGTCATTGAAAAAAGAGAAAAAAAAATGACGAATGAACAGAAAAACTAATCAAAATAATGGCGCCATTTAGTGTCCAGAAAAAGGAAAAAAATCTCAAAATGTCGTCTGAAATATAACCTCGTTTTCAAAGTAGATTCTAATAGATTTAAAATTGGAAAACGAACTTATTGAATATCAGATTTATTTCAATTATTTCATCAATAAATAATCTTCAAAAATATATTTTATTCTGATACCTCCTTCATTTTATTTATTTATTTTTATTTTTATTTACTTTTTTTGTTTAACTATTTTTTTATTTCATATAAAATTACGACATTAAGAACCTTCAGATAATGGCAAGACATATTGTAATGGTTACCAAGCTTTACCTCGCAAGAACTAGTTACGACTCCATGTGAGTTTAATCCTCACTAGGTTTTTGGCAAAATCGACGTTTTTCCATCTACGCTACGCTTATAAAAATATCTCAAATTTGAAAATCTGATGTAATGGTAACCAAATTTTTGTTTCGTTAGATCAATTATATCTGAATAGTGAATTTGATCTTCAAAATCATTTTCCATATATACTTTCGGCTTTACAACTTGTCATATTATTTTAGCCGTAGAAGATCAAGGCTAAATTTTAAGCCACTATCTAAAAATGCCATTTTTGGGAGCATTTTGAAAAACACTGTGCTAAATGAAGGTGTTTCATTATTTTTTCAGAATGAATTTGCTTCACATCTTCCTCTCACTTGCTATTCCCTTTACAATCTGTCTTTGTTCTTTCAACCATTCATACATAAATAGAAATGATTAAAGATATCTTACTGGAATACTCAGAGGTTTTTATAAAACTATTGGATTCTACTTTGAACAATACGAATGTATTTAGCTCGAAGTTGAAATGATGATCCCTGTTCTTCTCCTGACCTCCTAAACTAGTTTTCATCTCTACTGCTCCGTCTTTTTTAAAACTTATTCACCATTCTCTTCATGGTTCCTGAATAGACTTTGAAGATGAAAGCCAGAATATGAATGTTGGTACCATTGAATGAAGGTTTTATCATTGCGCAGTTGAGAAGGACTGTGTATATTATTGACACAAAACGATTTTAAACTGTTCTCTTTTGTTCTGAATTCAAAGGCTTTTCATAAATTGATTACGACAAATAAAATATTTTTTCTTATCTAAAGAATAATGCAAAAAAAAAAAACGCAATTTTTTTACTTTTTTTTTAGATATTAACAACAGTAAATATATTTTGGACAAATATTTCAAATGCTGTTACTATAATGGAAAGACAATTATATATATATATATATATATATATATATATATATATATATATATATATATATATATATATATTGAACAATAAAAAAAATTAAAAATTAAAATCTTCAGACACACTGGGTTGTAGATTAATATTCTTTCGTTTTTTTTTATTATTATTTCATTTAGATTCCTCGACTAGTTTCGGCCAACATGGCCATCATCAGGAGAAAACAAATTTTCTGCTTGCTGGTAGAAGTGAACTACAAAAATGAATGTCTTGATGGAGAAAATGAACTTTTGTCTGTAGTTTTCATTTGTTTTTTTTTTTTTTTTTTTTTTTAACATGAATTTTGGCAAGTCTTTGTGTTGGTCAAACAGTCTCTTTTAAGTTGTTATTTAAGATAAGAGCTGGATGGATTCATGTTGCTCTGAATTTTGGTCAGTTTATTAGTTTTATTTTGACAGTTTTATTGGTTAAATGAAATGTGTGTATTATTTGGTTCTTGTGTATATATGTTAAGTATATTACTATGGGTGTGTTCATTTGGCTCATTAGGGAGTGAGTGAGTATGATGTGTGTAAGTGTGTATATTCGTGTGGGTGTGTGTATAAGTGTGAGGCCTCAACACCTCCGTATACATGTCTGTCTTGTGTGGGTGAGAAATGTGGATGGTTTTGATTTGTGGTTTTATATATTAATACTATCTATATTGTTAAATTTGTGATTTAAGCCTGTCTGGATAGTGTGTTTTTTTTAAACGTCATATATATATATATTATATATATATATAAAAATAATAATTTCTAATGTTTTTCTGCTTGAATGATTCATTATGTAATATAAATTGAACTGATCCGACACACAATGGAAAAAATAATAGTTTTCATTGCTCCATTTATTGAACAGTTTAGTTCATGCCAAATCGACTGAAAAAAACCTATTAAAAAAAAGAATTCTCCAATTACCATATTAGTAAAAAACCACCATTTTAAATTTTCAAAAATTCAACCTTAGCGTTTGCATTCATGCCCAAAATTGGTTTTACAGTTAACTCGACAACACATTTAAAAAAACATATTTGATTCACATCTAATGTGTTTGTGTCCCGGTATTACCTGATAATAAAAAAATAAAAACAAATCAATTTCCATGCCTGATGATGTCTGTATGAACAGATGAAAGTACTAGAAAAAAAGAATTTATTGTTATTGAATTTAAAAAAAAATAGTGATCATAACATTCATCTAGAGGTTCGTGGGTTAATATAATTTTAATAAATTTGTTTAAGATTGGCAAAGATGTATTCTCGCCATTTATATCATTAACTTCACTAATCTGTTTTTGTATGAATGATTCATGTAATATATATATATATATATATATATATATAAATGTTAATAGTTATTATTAAAAAATTTATCTATTGGGGAATTATTTTTAAGATTGTGTTCACTTTGACATTCCTTTAATTATCTAAACCTTTTGAATATATATATTTTTAGTAAAATGGAACAAAACATGTGAATTACAAAAAGGAAATATAAAATCAAACTAGTACAAATATTTAAATATCATTTTGATTTAAAGAAGACCGAATGGTGCATTTGATAAGGAAAGTTACATTCATGTAAAAAACTAAGTATAGTATTACGAAACATTGAAAATTTCAATGTTAAAGCAAAGAAAAGAACGTTGAATTGTTATTCAATCATCAATTTTCATATATGGCAGTTTATTTTGAACATCTCATCACAAAGATGAATAAAAAGACTTTGGATCAACAGAAATGTTTATTTTCTACAGAAGGATGATGAGGATGAAATATGACTGAATCTTGCAACATCGAATTTTTATAAAAAAAAAAGGAAACATACTAGTTAACATCAGGAAGAAACAGTTGAAATTTCTGGAGCACCTAGTGAGGAAGGACTTTTCGAAAATCTTCGGTTTACAGGACAAATTAGAGAAAAGGATGGAATGAGGAAAACAGCGCATCAGATTCCTAATGAGCTTGTGTAAATGGTTAACCGAACAGGGTTTAGGTGACATAACAGAAAGACAAAGGACACATAAATGTGGAGAGCCATGATCGTCGACATTTAATTAAAGGGAAACGAAAATTAAACGGTACATATCAGTGGAAATTTTAAAGATATGGATCCTTTTGAGTATATATTTATAATGGGCAGCTTAGAAAATCGCTTCTAGATAATATCGAAGTAAGTAGCACCCAATTTATTTTCCTTTCATTACACAAATCGTAAAAATAAATAATAGATAAGACATTTTGAAATGTTAACCATTTACATCCATCGAAATGTTATTTTTATCATTTATGTATAGGTATATAGAAAAATGTTTGTAAAGCGTCTTTAGATGTGGCACAATTAAATTTAAGTGGCATCCAGTGAGAATCGAATAAAACTTTTCAAATGTAACAATAATAAAAACATTCAAAATTTTCGTTAATAAGAAAAACGGTTTTAAACTAAGCCTTTGAATGGCACAAGGCCGAAATATGGGTATATTTGAGGAATTTCCTGGAAACATGGTATTAATTGAACTAGCAACCATTTTCCTAATCATTAACACCAGGTCGAGGTGCAAGTATTTGATTTTTTCCATAAAAACTCATATAAAAAGGCCGATTTTTATTTAATGTGGGGCAAAGAAGGATCGAACTCACTTCTCAGTTGTAAGAAAATTTTTTAAAAAAGAATGCTCATTAAGGTATTTTAATATAGTGATTTTCTAATAATGTATATTAGATTGGCACAAGGCCGAAAGCATTTTTTATCCAGTGAGGATCGAATTCTTGTCTCAATCGTAATTGTGGATTTGGAAACAGATCAATAGCCATTACAAAAATTAAAGGTGAATATATATATATATATATATAGAGTTCGATTTGTGTAATATGTGATATATGTTTATGCAACCATATAAATAATTAGACAATCATGGTTCCACACATATTTCTTATCTTTACAATTTGGAAAAGAGCGTAGTAATTTTTTATTGTTACGGTTTGGAATTCAGAGATTTAGTACGGTTAGACTGGTTACATATCAAGGCTAAAGAGCCCAGTCTATCCTATTATTTAAATTTGAATTTTGAAAGGAAGTAAAGCATTTCATCGTAAAGTTATTCATTTGTGTGTGTGTGTGTGTGTGTGTGTGTGTGTGTGTGTGTGTGTGTGTGTGTGTGTGTGTGTTAACAGACTATAAATGTTTCGTCTAAGTTGCTTATTTATCTAGCTAATTTCTAGTATCTTATATATACAATCTTAATGAATATTCATTAAAAGAAATTGAAAAGAAAGAAATAAAAATGATAAAAATTCACATTGTAAAGGGGACGTGGAATAAAAGAGAAATGAAGATTTTAATTATCAGGTTCGAAGAAAGGAAAAAGAATTGAAAACAACGAAATTATCTCACACATCTACACTCTTCACTTTCTCGTTTCTCTCTAGCTTTCTATCCTATTCTCTTTTTTTTTTTCTTTTTTCTATCTCTCTTTCTATTTCTCTCAGTCTCTCTTTCATTATGTTCTCTTTTCAGCAGCAAGGCCTCTTTATCTCTGTCTCTTTTTCTCTTTTTCTTTTTTTCAAACAACTTTCTCTGTATATTTATCTAAAATTTCTGGGTCTTTCTTTTCTATTTCTCTCTTAAATTCTCTCTTTGAACATAATTTCTATCTTTTTCTTTCCCTTTATCTCTGTCTCTTTCTCTTTGTCTCTTTCTCTTTCTTTCTGATCATAATTTCTCTTTCTTTTGATTTCAGAATTTTAAATATATTCTTTCTATTTCTCTCTATTCTCTCTTTTTATGAAGCTCATAATATCTATATATCTCACTTTGAACTCAATTCTTTCTCTCTATCTATTTCCCCTTTCTCTCAAGATTATCTCTATCAAAACGATATCTATAAGTTTTTTAGATCAAAATCTCTTTCTCTTTCTATTTTTCATTCAAAATACTCAAATTTTAGGAATACAAAACTCTCTCCCTTTATAGACGACGTGCAATCAAATTTAAACTTTTTTTCTACATCTGAAAAAGATTTCAGTTATCATTTTAGATTGTTGATCTTTTGATTGACTTGTCCATTGTCTTTTTCATGTTGAATTCTGCATATGGTTTATGTTCGCCATAAAGTTTTTGAATATGTCTTAAGAATGGATTTATTCGACCGAAACGCAGACACTGATAAAATTACATTAAAACAGCATTTTCTATCAGTCCTAAAAAACTTTCACATTTTTAAATTATTTTTTTTCTTCATATTGGTCGGATCGTATATCCATCGTTCGATTTCGTTCGCGATAAGTGTGACGTTCAATTTTGGTTAGATGAATACCAGCCTCGCTGTTGCAAAACTCGCTTCCAACGCCTGGTTACTAGGGTAACTGCACTGATCTCCGGTCTGCAAAACCCACGTTGTGATTAGATCTTAACAGACGGGATCAAAAGGGATTGGGGCCGTATGCAGTTCTGAGTTCAACGGGGTGATAACACACAAGAAAAAGAAAAACTCATAAGGTCAAAAATTATTGAAGAAAAAGGTAACAATTTTTTATATCTAAATGTTCGTTACACAAGATTATTCCTACCTCCTGACCCGTTTTGTGGACTGTGGCACCAAGCTTCTACCATACAACTTTGAGGCTTCGAGTTGCCTGCCTCTAGAAATTTGCATTTCGGGTTGTGGTTTGGTTTCGACACTGGGCGCTGATCTCTACCTGTCGTTCACGGCTGATTTTCTCGCCGTCAGTGGCGCGAATCTAACTCTCTTCTCTTCGGCTTGGTTGGACGTTCACTCATTCACTTCGTCAGTGAGTTGAACGAATTTCTTTCTTCGGCTTCGGTTGGACGAATTTCTTCACTTCGACTTGAGTTGGACGAATTTCTCTTCTTAGACTTGGGTTTGATTCCAACTTCTCCGAGGCGCAACTGTTTTAATTCCAACTTCGTCCGAGGCGCAAGGGCTGCTTCAACTTCGGCTTCTCTTGCCGCAAAGGGACTAAGAACATTCACCCGGCTTGAGTTGGACGACTCCTTATTCCAACTTCGTCTTGAGGCGCAATCCGAACTTCTCACTTCTGATTCTCTTGCCCGCAAGGGGCGAATGAACAGGGCCCGCCGCCCGCGCTCAAGCTCCCTCGCTGTCCGCGGCCCAACTCCAACTGATTTCTGTCGATTGGGGTCCTGCTTTTATTGACGCAGTAACAAACTGGGGTGGGTCTGTCGGCGCCAGGGTTTTCTTGATAATTCTAAAGACGTATTATTTCTGATTAGGGATTTTCCATTATCGGTAACTTACTTTCCTCCTACTTCCTTACTGTGCCTCTGGGGGAGGCGTATACCCGCTTCCCTGGTCCCTCGTATGTCAGGTGACCGCTCTCGACCAATGGGGTCCTGGTCGGGCATCTTTCCTCCTCCCTCGCACATCATGACCACTCTCGGCCAATGAGACTGGTCGTCTCTCCTCCTCCCCATGTATCATGACTGTCCTCGGCTAAGAGACTCTGGTCGGTATCTTTCCTCCTTCCTTCGTGACGTCTCTAATCGGGCGTGGACAATCCGGGCTTTGTTCTGGGGAAGAAACACCTTGCTTAAAAAAAAAAAATTTAAATTGTCCTTTTCGTACGTGATCGAATGACGCTATCCTTCCACACGTGGTATCTGTCAAACAGCCTGCCGCTAATTGGATACGATCTAAGAAAGGAATTTTTAGACCTGTCGGCGTTCTGAATGAGCTAATACAAATATTTCCATTTTCGCTCTGGCCGAAAAAAAAAATTAATTATCTCAAAAAAGCGATTCACCTTGGGTGTTTTTTTTTTCAACCCCAGAAATTGTCTGGGTTCTTGTATTAATGCTTTTTTTTTCTTTATACATTCCCCATCTGTTACCTATCATCTCAATGACATCCTTTTCGTTTGTTACTTATCAATATTTTTTTTCATTGTCCCTAAAATTTTATTTCTTCAACCAAATTCCATAACAAACTCCCATCTTTCGTGGATTTTGATTTGAATGTAGGTCGAGCGTGTGTGCGCTTGACTAATATTTTTGATTATCTTTTTATTATCTCTAAACTCTATTTCTTCAACCAATTATAACAACTTCCATTTTTTCGTGGATTTCGGTCAGGTACTTGACTTATATCTTTGACACCTGGTTTCGTTTATTATTTATTTTGACCTTTTTTACCATTTCCTCTTTCCTTTTCTTTCTTCTTTCTTTTCTTCTTCAGATCGTCTGAACGCAATTAAAGAATTATTCTCAAACCCAAATATTTTTCATCTCTAAATAACTATCAAATGGTTAACAAACCGAAAAAATAAATCATATATTTATGAACATCTCTTTTCAGTTTTCTAATTATGCATGGTGCCACAGATAATAGATAGACAGGTAGATGTTAGCCTACGAGATATATATATATATTATATTTCCTAGATAGAATGAAAATAAAATAATAGATAGATAGATAGATAGATAGATAGATAGATAATTTGAAAATACTAAGATTCTTTTATATAAATATATAATATATACATATATATATATATATATATATTGATAGATAGATAGATAGATAGATAGATAGATAGATTCTTTTTCATTACTAAATGACAGTTTTGAGCAACATGATATTGCCGAGAAAGACAAATATCGCCAGAAAGCCAAATATCGTCAGAAAGACTTTGCTGCGTCAGCATCGCAATTGACAAGCTGAATAGATATATAAACGAACTATCGATCAACACTACTTTAAAGAACCAATCATTTTTTTGTTAAATGGAAACTGTTTGATGAGAATCGATTAAAAGTAATTCAATCATAATTTTCAATAAAGCCTTTGTTTCGCATTAATTTTAATCCTCTTTATTCACATTATGACATATTATTTTTAGAAAAAATGTAGGGAATTAATATCCACTACATTTGTCGTGAATATAATTTCGCCGCAAATATGAATTACAATTCCGTTACAGGGATGACAACAGAGAGTGAAGATGAAGATATACAAAAAACGTCGGAGAACATTTGAGAACAGGTTCCTCATTTCGGGGTAATTTTGACACATCGGTTGTCCTTAAAAAAGGCGCCCTTTTTTGTAGACGTGGCGATTTTAAATTGAAATTTTTACTCATCGGTTATTTAGCCAAAAATTGCTTATTTTACACTGATTTAAGATTGTACAAAATCCAGTTCTTGACAGGAATGGGAAGTTAGGAGTTACGTAGACAAGATGGCGTTCCACCTCTAAAAAGTTTAAATGTAGATCATTCACATTACTGTAGGAGATGGTCAACGTGGGGTCCGCTTTTGTTTTTTTTTATGCCGGTTTGGTTCTTTTATTCGATTTGGTTGTCGTCATGATTAGAAATCAGATAAGTGCGTCCAGGTGAAAGGATCAATAAACTGTCATAATCATAGGAGGTGCGTCCATTAACGGGCTAGTTTGAATTGTCCAGAGATAGTCCCGTAACAGTTAGATATGAATAGACAGTGATAGATGTACAGATATGTGCATAAATAGATCGAATGAAAATACTAACATAGATAAATAGATAAATAGATAGAATGAAAATACTAACATACATAGATAGCTAGATGAATAGAATGAAAATACTAACATAGATAGATAGATAGATAGATAGATAGATAGATAGATAGATAAATTGATAGAATGAAAATACTAACATAGATAGATAGATAGATAGATAGATATAATGAAAATACTAACATACAGAGATAGCTAGATAAATAGAATGAAAATACTAACATAGATAGATAGATAGATAGATAGATAGATAGATAGATATGAATATAGATAAATAGATAGATAGATTGATAGAATGAAAATACTAACATAGATAGAATAAAAGTACTAAGATAGATAGATTGAATATACTAACATAGATAGATAGACAGATAGATGTTAGCCTACGAGATATTGATATCTATTAACACTACTAGATAGATTGAATATACTAACATAGATAGATAGATAGATAGACAGGTAGATGTTAGCATACGAGATATTGATATATATTAACACTGCTAGATAGAATGAAAATACTGACATAGATAGATAGATAGATAGATAGATAGATAGATAGATTGAAAATACTAACATATACATATATATATATATATATATATATATATATAGATAGATAGATAGATAGATAGATTCTTTTTCATTACTAAATGACAGTTTTGAGCAACATGATATTGCCGAGAAAGCCAAATATCGCCAGAAAGACTGTGCTGCGTCAGCGTCGCAATTGACAACCTGAATAGATATCCAAAGCAGTAAACGAACTATAGATCAACACTACTTTAAAGAACCAATCATAAATTTTCCTTAAATGGGAAACTGTTTGATGAGAATCGATTAAAAGTAATTGCTTTTTTGCATCATAACTTTCAATAAAGCCTTTGTTCCGCCAGTATTTTTAATCCTCTTTATTCACATTATGACATATTATTTCTAGAAAATAACTACTCTTACATTCTCGTCTGCTCCTCTCATTTTTTTTCTTTTACTATTCACCGTTGTCTTCCGCTATTCTACTGCGCATGTTCATAAATTAGAGAAGGCGACCGCTTCATTTTGAAGTTAATCCATTCCCTGACAGATTTTCAACTTCATCAGTTCACCATTCCGCTACGGATCAGGCCGCCATCTACGGTAATGGACTTCTTATACGAGAAATTATGACTTTCGCAATGGACGTTTTTGTCGGCTTACATTCCTTTACGATCTCATAAAAAATAATTCGTCGACAGATCCATTAAGGAAGTTGGAAACCATTTAGTTGTAAGGATAAAGGAAACACGAACAACGAAAATATTTAAGAAAAACACCAAATTATACACACAAGCAAGTTAAGAAAAGCCGGAAAACAATCATTCATAGTAAAGGACAATTATACATTTGTTAAAAACTGGACAATAATTGCATTAGATTTTATTGCCTCATGTAAAGAAGGACCGAAGTTTGGCACAAGGCCAAATTGTTTTCTACGGCTTTTGAACCTTTTACTGGTCATTTAAACCCAGAAAATATGTTTAAGACTTTTGGAGGTTTTAATGATTTAATAACACAAGCCCTACTAATTAACCCAAAGGTATGGGGACGTGGTGGATTTACAGTTTCAAGGGTAATGGTGTGTTCTGTCAATAACAAAAACTTGAATTGGTATTTATCTCTTTAGGTTTCCAGAAAAGAAACTGACAATTTCGACGTTGCTTTTTCAGTTTACAATGTAACGAAATTGGCAAATTAAACTGTAATAACAAATAGTTCTAAAATTGAGCAAAGAATTTTACAACAATCTCGTCCAGCAACATTGAAACATATTGCAACTGGTGTTGCCAATCAATCACCCATCTATTAAAACCAGTATCGACGAAAATTATCGTTTTGGTGATATGAGGAAACGATGATCGTTATAACGTGATATGAACATAAGATGAAACCACTTAATTCGTCATAATAAAAGCATGACCAAGTAGAGGCCCTGACCAGATATGACAGAAGTAAAAAATCTTGGTCGTACGTAAACCGTTGGCAACGATAGTTACCGTAAGCATCTGTTCATAGGAAAGTTAGAGCACATTGGTGTATTCCACGCAGACGCAATTTTGGCTTTTGACCGGGCATGATAAATTTATGGTTTGGTGTTGAATGAAACCAGCAGATCAAGTTTTTAAAACATGGTTTATTTTCGCAGACGACACAGGCCCTGACCGCAGAAAAATTTTCTTTAAGTGTTCGAATGGAAACTTTGAAAACAAAAATAATCTAACAAAGACCTAATTTATGCTTTTACGCAGACACCAAACAAGGTTATGCCCGTAAAAATATTTATAAATGTTAGAAAAAAAATGGGACAAAATTTCGTAAACTTCCGGTGTTCGAATGGAAATATTTGATCCAAGGTTCAGCACCTGATTTTCTCAAGTGGTAAACGAACTTGATTGAAAACCAGTTTCGACGTTCCTTAACATCGGTTAACCTTTAT